GTGAAAGTTTTGTCTTCTTATTTATAATAAAAAAGAAAATTTCTTTATTATTTGTTTGACATATTTTTTTATATCTGTGTTAAATAGTTACAACTAATTACTATGTTAATTGTGTGTAATCTTCTCGCGTCGTTATTTCAACCAACATTGAGTTTAGCGTTATGGCTTTTATAGTGAGAATTCCTCGTGCAGATTAGTCTCTTAGGGAATACTTTAGCAATCCTTTTCCAAGTAATTTTCCAAAGGGAATTACTAATTTTTGCAATCGCTAACCGTTATTTTGAACGATTGTTAACAATTATTGTTCGGAGGGAATTGTTTGCGTAACAATCATTACATGAGTGGCTTTATTACTCTAATGCAAACTGCATTTACCGCACTGCAGCAACCATCTTTCATCAACAATCATCAAAAATCGATGTTATCATAGAAATTAGACCAAGAAAATTAAAAACTTTAGATAAGCTTGCTAAAGCTACTTTTTTGGTTGTAACATCTTTTTGGCGAGTCGGCCGACAATCCACAAGTAAAGTGTCATTGTTTTTGTTCAATACAGGGAAAATGGAGTGTTTGACTTTTGTTAATAAAAGCGATGAAAATTTTTGAAAGTCTCTAGAACTTCATAAATTAAGATATGAGATTTAGTAAACTAACAATAATAAAGATTAGCATCAGACATTTTTAGATCGATTTCTTGCAATAATGAAAAGAAGTTTGTTCATAAGAGAGTAGTTTCTATTAAAAAGATGAATAAATTAATATGATTATAGAAGCTCCTAAATCAAAGAGTAAAATGAGGCTTGATATTGACGAGAAGGAATAAAAGTTGAGAAGGTTATAAAATAAGTGGTTAGGGTTTTAAGAAAAACGAGTCACAAAGTTAATTATCCAAGTAAAAGATTGAGAGATACAGAAGTTACAAGATTTTTTTCCAATAGGATCACTGGTGTAAGAGCCGTGTTATTCAGTGTGATAAGCATTAAAGTCATTAATAACAACAATATTGGCTGAGGGATAAGGAGAAAGGGCTTTATCAATTTGGTCAAAAACTACATCTAAATTAGCGCAATCTTAAAAAGAAAGAGAAAAATAAAGTACGAAGATAAAGATGGTTAAGTAAAGAGGAGCTAAATGGTAGCTCATAAAAAAATAGTTTAAGGATTCAAATCTGAGTTCTTAACGAATAGGGTTATTGATGCATTAGAATATGCTCAAACCGAGAAAATGATGGGAATTCAACTGATGTATAGTTACTACGTAAACAATGAATATTTGTAAAAGATATTGAAACACTTAGGCAATGGTGATGATTTTTTACGTTTAATATTTTTGGGTACTTATATCATGATTTTAGATAAAAATGAGTTTCCTTAATTATAAATAAAACAATGCACCCAAGAAATGAGCTATACAGTTGTCTAAATCTAGCTAAATAACCCATAACCTTAATATCGGGCTTTTAATGTGGCCTTGATAATGCACATTAAAAGCATTAGGGCACCATAAGCAACAGGGACACCATATATGGGAAAAATGGCACTGTTAATTCTATGATAATTTACAGCTGTTAATAGAGTCATCCTCTCTTTTAATGTAGGTAAACTTTACTACCAGCCGACCTCATAGCAATTAACATGAAAATTTAAAGCTGTAGCCTCATCAAAATATAACAGGAATAGTTGCATAGCCACTGCCAAAGAGGAACAAATAAAAATTTATAAATAGACTAAAACAAAATCAAGCATTCATCAGGAAATAACACAGGTTCAAAATTACGCCAGGCTAAAAAATAAAAAGTAGTGCAATGCTGATCAAAAAATTATTTTGCTTGCCCCTTAAGTCTTTGCCTAGGAGACGTTCTACAAGACACTAGCTGGATGCATTTAAGATCTGGCCATTTTGATAATTTTTTTTTCCATCAAGACATCATCTCTTACTTAACAAAAAGCTTCAAGGCAGTGGTTTTTTAATTCAAAGTTTATAAAATTAAAACAAGGCAGCTGGACATAGGGTAGGTAATACTGAATTATGTATAATAATCCTAACCCTGACCTCACTTGGTTTGCACAATTTCCAATTTTATTTTAACTTTGAAAAATAAAAATGTTAAGTTTTTTGTATTGTGGGTAATAAACCCGTGTATTTGACAACATCAAAACATAATTTTGGCTCAAAAACTTTGACAGCATATGTATAGTGGAAAACGCCACTTTTTACAAATTAATTAAATTTTATATAATCATAATTTTTGAACGCTTAGAGATTATTGCATGAAATTTAAAATTTATTCATGAATATAAATTTATTAAAGAAAAGTAAATAAAATATTTTATCAACCTGTTGCTCTCACATTTGGGGCAGCTGTGGAGAAAATTTTAGAGCTTTTCTATTCCCAGGCTCCAATCATCGCAATTTTTTGAGGGCCGACGATACGGATTTCAAAGAGGAGGGACACAGTTGTCATTTTCTAAAAAAACCTCTAATCTATAATTTCTTTTTTAGGGGGTGGTGGTGGAAGAGGAAGGGGTAAAACTCTTAGCTCCCCGCCCCCCGGTGTCATCGGCCCTGTATTTTTCATAAGTATAAACATACAAATATTTAGAGCTTGCTCCGTGTCTGGAATTTAATTCAAATCTCAAAAAATGCTGGATCCACCCCTGTATTGTAAAAGTAAAAAAGGTCCTAGAATGAAGCTATAATTTATGATACTTTTTAATGTTATAGCTGTTTATGTATATATTGTTTTCTGTTTTTTTAATTTTTCTGAAACTATTCTTTTGTTCCTTAACGTTTTATGAGAATAATGACATGATTAACATTTTAAAAAGTTAAAAACCCATCAATGAAAACTGAAGAGTCATAATTTAAAAAATTAGATACATGATTTACTTACTAGGTTTAAGTTTAGTTAATGAACTTATCGATAAATTATAATTACAAATTAATCGTGAAAATTGTTCTGTGAAAATCTTTTTGCCGATTTTTTGTTTACGTTTTCAGATTTTCGCGGAAATATTCAAATATTTAAATTGAAAAAATATTCAAAAAATAAAAAAAATTTTTAAACGTGGTTTCTAATAATTATTAATCATCGCAGTTGAATCAAAAATATATTACCATTGTTCATCATAATTTAGAGTTTAATTAACTATATTTTTACTGTATTTTTTTGTATAGTTGTATTTTTGTATACTGTATTGTATAGTTTTACTGTAATTAAACTGTATAAAACTTTTAAAGAAATATCGTTTAGATTATAAAAATATTTTTTTAAAACGAAATCATACAATTTACAAAAGATGAATTTAAAACTAGTCTTTGTGAAAACATTTATAGCTTTTAAGTTTGTTTTAAAGTGCTTAAAGTTTTTAATGTTCCCAGTTTTTTTTGTGGCTCAAATTAAAATGAAAATTTAAAATAAAAAGTAAAAGTTATTATATGTTATATATTTAAAACTAAAGTAACTTTACTTTAGTAAGAAATAGAAAATATAATAACAATAAAACATTTAATTTTATTTCTATTTTTTTTATTTAGCTGTTTTTAAATATTTTAAAAATAAATCGAGTTTATATATATTATAAATATGAACTATAAAACACTTGGATTATTTTAAAAATATTTATATATATAATAATATTATAATTATATATATATACGTACATACATATATATATATATATATATATATATATATATATATATATATATATATATATATATATATATATATATATATATATATATATATATATATATATATATGTATATTATATACATATATATATACTATATATATGTATATTATATACATATATATATACTATATATATATATATATATATATATATATATATATATATATGTATATATATATATATATGTATATATATATATATAAATATATATATATATATATATATATATATATATATATATATATATATTTATCTGTCTATCTGTCTATCTATCTATGTATCTATCTATATATATATATATATATATATATATATATATATATATATATATATATATATATATATATATATATATATATATATATATATATATTTATCTGTCTATCTATCTATCTATCTATAAATATATATATATATATATATATATATATATATATATATATATATATATATATATATATATATATATATATATATATATATATATATATATATATATAAAATACTAACAATAATATAAAGCAAAATTTAATTATAACTAAATTAGGAAAGGATCGAGGCGTATTAATTTCAAATGACTTAAAACCGAAGCCACAAATCAAAATTGCATTATCTGTTGCAAACTTTAAGTTTGGTATAATATGCAAATCATTTAAGTATAAATATAGTGAACTAATAAATTTGCTGTAATTATATACAGAATTTGCAAAAAGATAATAATTTTGAAAATACCCCCTCAACATTCATGCTCTTTAAGTTTTTCATATATATATATTTTTAATATATATATATATATATATATATATATATATATATATATATATATATATATATATATATATATATATATATATATATAAATATGTATATATATATATATATATATATATTATATACACAAATATACATTTATATATATATATATATATATATATATATATATATATATATATATATATATATATATATATATATATATATATATATATATATTGTATATATATTATATATATATATATATATATATATATATATATATATATATATATATATATATATATATATATATATATATATATATATAAACACACACACACACACACACATATATATATGTATATATATATATATATATATATATATATATATATATATATATATATATATATATATATATATATATATATATATATATATATATATATATATATATATATATATATATATATATATATATATATATAAACACTGTTTCAAGTTTACTTTTTTTATTAAGGTAATAAAAATAAAGTGTGCTATGGAGAAAAAAAAGATTTGCAACTTTAAAAAGAAGTAATAGTTTTTTTTACAAATTTTTTAAGTACTCAGTACATTTTCTTTTTATAACAAAAGATTTATTAATTTTTTAAGCTGTTTTAATTATATCTATGTAACATATTTTTTAACTAATTGTGTGAGGTCAGGTTTAGATCTGAATCTGGTCAGGTTTAGATCATCACCCTGTTACTGTTAACATATAAACTAGTACAACTTGCCTCATATCATGCTTCCCTGCTGGAATTGCTTTTCTAGGCAAAGGCTAGAAAAATTTGACTCTGACTTAAAATATCTTAAATTTTTTTGACCAGCCCCACACCTCTTTTTTTATTAAAAGGGTTGTGTAGATGTAAACATGCTTTACATTCACTCCAACCTATGATAAAAAATGCTGGATCTTGTTGGGTTTATTTTTAAATTTTTGGCTACACAACTTTTTCTGGTAATTCCTATTAAGGAAACAGCTCTAAGACTCAGTTTAATGAATCTGAGGTCGATTTTTTTTGATGTTTTGTAAACTTTGTAGCAGCACTCAGAGACTGATTCCATCAACATCCTTAAAATATTAGAGTAAATATGTCCCTATTGTACTTTTAATGTGCATTGTTTAGGCCACATAAAGAGCCATTGATATGGTCTTACGTTAATTAGCGGGAATGAGATGAATAACTTAGTGCTTAGCCTATAATACACTATCTATAATTGAGTCAAGTTTGATATTAAATAAAAAACATGAGTAAAGTACCTATTAAAATTACTGTTGAAATGTTTTTTGGGTACTTTTTTACTAATAATTGTTCCAGCATATGGATTTTAATAAATTTACGTAGTCTAATTCATGCACATAAAAGAATATTTCTACTAAATTGTTAAATTTAAACCAAATTATATGACTAAAAATGTTAATAAAAAAAAACTTCTGCTCACAATTTAATAGAATTTAAGGAGCATTTTTTAAATTATATGGTATAAATATATGGTATATGGTATAGAAGTATTATTACATCAAACAAAAATAAATCAAAAACAATCATTACAATTTATAATGGATATTTTTGTTTGAACAATGAATTTGTAAAGGATAGAAATCATATTAATACTACAACATTCACAAATATAAGAAGTCTTTGAAGTAGCTTTTCATCTATTGAATCTTACCTTATGCAAATTTCACCAGGCTAATTTAAATTTCATTGTTTCATCTTTGGTTCAGTCTAAATTATTATTCTTTGATTCACAAAGACTCCAATGTCATATGCTTGGTTTGGGCATAAACTTATTGTATAAGTATATGCCCAGACCAATCATAGGATAAGTGTAAATTTTACAACTAATTTTTATTAAGTTACCAAGAAAACAGCAACAGCAAGTCAACAACAAATAAAGGAACATTTTGGTATGTCTGAAACTGTTTCAGTTACATAAATGTCAGATTAAAACATTTTGGTTCATGTTCTGGTTTACAACAAATTTGTAATATTTAAATCTACAATTCATCACCTACCCGCTATTTATGAACCACCTATTCACTATCCATAGACTATTCAGCAATCTCTATTACTATTTAGCACTTGAACATTGCTGGTCACCAAGCAACATGTATCTCTTATTGCTCATCACCAAGCAACATATATCTCTTATTGCTCATCACCAAGCAAATGCAAAAAATGAAAGTTATTGTAAAAAACAGAAAGTTGTTTCAAAACTCTTTGCTTAAAAAGATGTTATGATATTTTATAAAATTTTCAACAAAATAAATCATAGATAAATTGAAGGCAGAAAATGACATTAAGTCAGATATACGCAAACATCTCAAAAATAAATATTGAAAAAAAAAATTATTTTCCTTTAAACAAAAATAGATAGTTTTTAAATAGAAAGTTAAAAATAAAAACTTTATCATTTAGTTGCCTTTTTTTTTAGGTTCATAATAAGGAAGTGCTTTTCTGCATGGAAGTTTTCTGTTTTAGGAAAAATTACAGATTTTACTGTTCGGTTTGTTTTTGTTAACATTTTAAATTATATTTACAGGTTTTATTTTATGTCAGAATTTTAAATAATTTCAGAGAAGAATTACACTAGGTCTGAGTATAGGAAAAAAGCAATTTTTTATTTTATTACAATAGAAATCATTATCGTCGTACCTTATTAAAAAAATGTATTTTGAGATGGGAAAAAACATTATTTTGTCAAAGAGAATGGAAACTAAATATCAGAGCCAATTTTTATTACAGGTTCAAAATTATTTAAAACATCTTTTTAAAATTAATTAAAATAATACTAAAAATTTTCCATTTAATTTATCATTAATATATAGTTTTCAGTTCTTTTATTTTTATTATTATTTTTTTTTTCAATTACTTTATTTTTTTATAGATTTCAAATATATCAAATGGTATTCAAAGCATGGACCAAATTTGTTCTAGCAAGACAAAAACAAAAAACTGCTATAAGCACAGCTTACTCATTTTGTAAGTTTTGTTATTTTAAAACAGAAATATAAAACTGCTATTAAAACAGCTATTGATTCTGTATGTGGTATGTGTTCTCAATTAAATTTCTCAACCATACTAACATATGGTAGTGGTGTAGTGGTAGAGTGCTTGCTATATAAGCAAGGAGTTCAGAGATCAATCCTCAATAGTAGTGGGTTTGTTTTTCAAAGGTTGTCTTTTAGAGTTTAAATGTGGAGAGAGAGAGAGAGAGAGAGAGAGAGAGTTGTATTAACTATTAAATGGTAAAATAAAAATGAGCATTAGTAGACTCCTTAACTGTAGTGACCTGCCTTGGGGAGTAAAATAATATTCAGTGCAGTAATATATAAAAATAAATATTTTTTTTTGTAGTTTTTGCTTTACTCTATTTATCTTCCCAAGGCCAAAACGACCACTGCAGTCTAGGAATCTACTAAAGCTCATTCTTATTTCTTTATTTAATAGTTGTCACAAGCCACTTTCATCTTTTTAACTCTAAAAAAAGAACCTCACTATAAATTATGGTTTTAAAAAGCTTTTTTTTTAAACCACATTTTAATTGCTAAAGTAGTTAAATATTCAAAAATGAAGTACATTATGTCTCTTTAATTGTGCGTGAAATCTTTAGTTTTTGAAATTTTCAGTTACTCCTTAACTCTTTTCTTTACATTCTAGTAGCTCAACTCAATTGCTTGCAGTCTTTTTGCAGTGGTTGTTTGCAACTTTGTTGCAGTGGTTGTTTGCAGCTTTGTTGCAGGTATTGCTTGCAGCCTTGTTGGAAGTGAATTTGTTAAAAAATAAAAAAATAAACTTATAAGTTGTTTAGTTAATCAAGGTTGTGCACACTATCAACAAAGTTGCAGGAAGTCATTATTTACAATGTAAGTTTTAACTTGTTTTCCTGCTCAGCAGCCTTGTTTGTCAAGGTTCGTGTTTTGGAGTTATAGAGTTAAGAGAGGGTTATAGCCACAATTAAGTAACATTCTCATCTGTAGTGGCCTTCTCGGCCTTGAGAAGGTGAATTAACAAAAAAAAAAAAAAGTTTCTAAGAAGGAAAAGCCAATACTTAAAGAGCTAAATATAGTGTTCACTAAGTACCAAATAAATTTAATTTATAAAAAAGTTCTTTTTGATTTTAATACATGTAATAATAGTTGTAGTTGTTATTATTTAATAGTTGTAATTGTTATTATTACACTTAAAGAACTAAATATAGTGTTCACTTAGTATAATACCAACAGAAACACAAAAATTCAATTGGTCTAATGTTTGAATAGATGATAGATTTCAGTATATAGAATGTGTAAATGAAATAAACTCAAATTTTTTATATGTTTGTGACTGCACGTTTTGCAGATGGGCTCCTCATATGTTGATGAATGTTATGTAAGAATGAATGTTAAAATCAGTTTTGAATTGAATGTATTTAACAACAATAGTTTACTACTCGTGTTAATAAAAACATAAGTTTATAAGTTTATATACCTTATTTTGCTCTACTAATTAATGATCATCACGATTAAACTGATTTTTTGTTTATTGCAGCTCAAACAAGGTTGCTACAGCAATCATTTAAAACATGGAGATGCTACATACAAAAAACTTTTATTCACTGTGTAAAAATGAATGAAGCAGTTGTTAGATTTAACTTGATTTTGATGAGGTATGAATAGTATAATAACTTCTTTTTAAATAAAATCTCCTAAAAAATTTTTGCTTTGAATTTAATTTTTTCTGGAAGTTTTTACATTTATAGTTTTATACTTTAGTTTTTATCCATTTAGGTATTTTGTTAGTTTGTTTTTCAAGTAAAAAAAAAAAAGTACAAAAAAAGAAAAAAAGAAAAAGCAGATTAAGAAATTAGAATTTTGATAGTGTCTTTAACTTTTTTTGAAAGAAAACATTGGCATATTTGGTGGAGTTGTTATAGAAGCAAGTCTTTAAAAAGTTGTAAAAAGTATATTGCTTTACATCATTGGGCAGAACATATGTTAGTAAAGGTTTGTTAATTATATTTTAGCAAAGGTTGCATTTTATGGTTAGAATTTTGCTATTAATATTTACGTTATCTCTTTTAATATCAACATATATGTTATAAGTTTTCTGCCATAAGGAGAAGAGTTCTAAAAATGAGCAGAAATATTTCAAAGTTAAAAAGTCATTGAAAAGTTTATTGAAATATTTGAAGTTGAAATGTTTAAACTGTTGAACTGTTGAAAAATAAAACTATAAACAACAAGTCATAAATTGTGTTTGGATAAAACTTGGATAGCATTTGATTTTTTATATTTGTATTAAATGAAAATAAATTTAATTTAGTAATTATTAATTATTTATTGAAGTAATTAGTATTTATTTATTGAAATTATTTTCATGGTTTCTATAAAATTATTTATATTATAATATAAACTAATACGTCACAATCTTGTTTTTACATTTTTACATTTTTTTTTCTTTTTTTAGTAAACGAATTTCTACAAGCTTTTATATAAAAATATAAACAAAGAAAATTTTTTTTTAGGCTTTCTTTCGCTGGAAAAATGTTTATTTTAAACACTGCCTCCTTATAAAAAAGCTTACACTTTTTAACATATACCAAGACAAAAATTTGATGTCCAGTGTTTTCAAAAAATGGAATGGGTATTTAGCTGTTCAATATGAAAAAAAAAGACTATATGGTTTGATCTCTTTTTTTGATTTTAGGTGTCCTGTCTTTAATTGAATTTAAAGAATTATAATTTTGTTTTCAGACAATGCTCAGGCGTTGTATGCACATAGGTTGATGAAATCATCTCTTAAAAATTGGTACATATTCTACAAATTTTTGCAAAATTTAAAAAAAAAGGAGTTGTTAATTCAAATCATTTGCAAAAAATTTACAACACGAAGATATTTTCTTCTATTTAAATCAAGTGAGTAAATAAATTTTACACAACACATAGAATTTTCTGTTAAAAATATATGATATAATTTTACTGAACAAAAATATTTTATTCTGTATAAGTCACTCACATGATTGTAGTTTACAACGTAAATTTTTTTTTTTGGTATGTGAATTAAAGGAAAGTTACAATGTTTTTTTTTTTTGCATTTCTTCTCCCTAGACATAGAGGGCAACTACAATCGATGAGGCTACTTTATAATGATAAAAACCTAATTCAATTCTTTAATTCTATAACATAAACCTTGATGAACAAGGCCACTGTGCAGAGAAACAGGTTGAGCACACTACCACTACACTACTACTGCTATCTTGTGTTAAAAGGATCCTAAACCTTCAAGACATGTTGTGTCCATATTAAAGATAATGGTAAAAAAAATTGTCTGGGCTAAATTTTTTTGATTAAAGCAAAAGAACAAATGCATACCAAGAAAAACTAACTTTTTTTGTTTTAGTCAAAGCTCACCTTCTTTGTTTTGTTGTTGGCCAAAGTCTTCATAATATATGCAGCAATCTACTTGATAAATTATTCAAGTGCGTTTGACTCCTAAGAGTTTTAGTAAATGATTTCATTGATTTTTTTTGTTTGTTTAAAAGATGGATTATGTAAACAAGAAATAGAAATAAAGCATGCCTGAATAAATTTTAAGTCTATAGATTGTGGCGTATAGTATGAAGACTGTTTTGCCTACAACAAAACTAAAAAGACGAGCTTTGACTAAAACAAAAAAATTAGTTTTTCTTGGTATGCATTTATTTTATTGTTTTTATCAAAAAAATTTACCTCAAACCTTTTTTTTTTATCATTCTCTTTAATTTGAAAACAACAAATCTCGAATGTTTGGTATTTCTTTAAAGTCATCTGAGCGAATTTCACAATTTTATTTCTTTTAAATTCATGCATATGAAATTTTTTTAACAGCATATATAATAGTATAGTTAATGTATATATTTTATAACACTAAAACCCATAAATTGACACATCAGAATATATGATAATATAATTATATATATAAAAATAATCTTTTTTTTTATTTAATTGGTTGTAATTTAGATGTTTTTTCAAAAAAACTCAGATGTAGGAGTATTCAACTATCTTTTCAACAGAAAAGAAAGGTGAAATCTTTTTTTTTCTTTTTATAAAACATATATATATATATATATATATATATATATATATATATATATATATATATATATATATATATATATATATATATATATATATATATATATATATCATATATATATATATATATATATATATATATATATATATATATATATATATATATATATATATATCTATATCTATATATATATATATATATATATATATATATATATATATATATATATATATATATATATATATATATATATATATATATATATATATATACAAACACTAGCGTGCAATAGGTATTGGTCAGTGTGTGAATTGTCTATAAAAACAAATGCTAATTTATTTCAACAATTTATTAATGATACATTTCTCAACAATATTTTAATACAGTTTAAACAAGAATTTTTTTTGTAAGCAGCAGTACACAACTTTTATTTAGATTTTACTCTTGTCAATATGACCACCTTTAGCACAGATGACTGTTTTACAGAAACTTGGCATTCAAGAAAGTAACTTTTAAAATGTTTTACAACTTAAATTTTTCCAGGCATCTTGGACATATTTCCAGAGACTATTTATATTAGCTCATTATAGATACCTTTCTGTCCAGCTTATCCCATAGTTTCTCTATGGAATTCATATCAGGTGATTATGGAGGCCAAGCCATAATTTATGCACTTTCTGCGTTTCTTTTGTTTTTAAACAATTTAAACATAATTTAGAAGAGTGCTTAGGGTCATTGTCTTGTTGAAAAACAAACAATCACCCTTTTTATCCATTATCGATTTGAAACTAAATCACCAACTTTAACTCCTCCAAAACTCTCTCAAATCATGACCACCACAGCTAAATAACTCAAACAATAACCATGAACAAATTCACCTACTCATCCTCAGAAATACTGTCTACTTCTGGCTCAAAATAATTTGAACTTTGATTCATCAGTCCAAAATACTTTTTCCATTGATCAAATGTCCACTATTTATGATTTCTTGCCAACTTAAGTTGTTTTTGTTTATTCACATGCTGTAACAAAGATTTTTGGCATTTAATCCAACTCTACTTGTCTCTTGACCATATCAACTGATATTAGATTTTTTCTTTCTTTATTCAATTCTTTTTTAATCATAATGATAAAGTTATCTATTAAGTTTGCTTGTAACTAATATATGTTTATCTTCCATCTTTGATGATCAAACTCAGGACTTTTATTATACTAAACTGAGTGGACTTTCGCTTTTATATATGTGTAGAACTTTCCAGAACAGACTCAGAAAGTCCAACAAATTAAATTTTACTGCGCACAGGCATTTATATAATATTTGCATAAGAAATTAATTATATTAAAGCAATTTTCAGGCTTTTACTCGCATTTGGATTTTTCATTTAATTTTAAATTTTCAAAATTTTTATTGAAATTTTACATAATTAAAGGTGATTGTGGTTATAGATAAATGTTGGTTAATTATGTATAAAGTAAATTTAGTTATATTGTTAAAAGGGTATTTTATTGTATTTTAAAAATTGTTTTATCAATTATCAAGAGCAAAGTCATAGCAATCATAGTTTTTCAAAATAATCACGTCAAGTAAGCAGGAACGCTCAGATGGTAAATAATTTTGAGAGTTTAATAAGTACTTTTGTTTTTAATAAGTACTTTTATTAAAGTTTATTACAAAGCTTATTACAAGTTTTAATAAGTACTTTTGTTTTTAAAAAGTAATTTTATTAAAGTTTATTGCAATGCTTATTACAAGTTTTAATAAGTACTTTTGTTTTTAATAAGTACTTTTATTAAAGTTTATTACAAAGCTTATTACAGGTTTTAATAAGTACTTTTGTTGAAAGACTGTAAGAAATACTGTCTGGACCGAAAGCTATAGAAAGTCTCATTAAATGAGAGACAACTTTTTCATGGCTAATATCATGATAATGATTTTAGAAGTTAATTTCGCAAAACTAAGAGTTGTTAAAGTGAAATCTTATTTAAGTTACAAAAAGTTAAAAATGTTAGCAAACATCAGAGCTTTAAGCATTTTCAAATGATGTGATTCTTATATTTTAGTAAAAGCTTTTACAACATAAGAATGAAAATATTGCTTTTTAGAATCATCACCACTACTGAATTAACAAACAAACAAATATATATATATATATATATATATATATATATATATATATATATATATATATATATATATATATATATTTATATATATGTATATATATATATATATATATATATATATATATATATATATATATATATATATATATATATATATTTAGATAATTTTTTTTTTTTAGTTTTGAAATATAAATCAATAATACGTTATAAACTTCAAATGTTTAGAAAAAAGTCTTATTTGCATTCAAAAGATATGTTATCATCACTAAAGAAATTAAAGACAATGTAAGTCACAGTTAATATATTCATGCTACTTAACCATTAAGTTTTTTATTCTAATATTTTTATTTCCATAATGAAATTTTTAATATGTAATTTAGCTATATGGCATTGATTAAATATAAAAAATAAAATTTATTAACTATAAATAATTAAGTATGCTTTTTTAATAAAAAACATTTTTTCAATTAAAGCTGAAGCGCTATTTTCTAAAAAGATGGATTTCAAAATGGGATCAGAAAAATGAACAAAAACATTACTCTTTATTGCAAATTGCAATCAATTATTACAGGTCATTATTTTTTGTTATTCAATACTATGGTGTTTTATTATTATTATGTTTAAATGGTTTTTTGTTAAAGGTTTTATTATGTTATTTTTTATTAATGTTTAATAGTTTATAAAAATATATTTATTATAGTTTTTTTTTGTTGCTTTTTTGGTTTTATTGCTATTGTTTTTGTGATTGAGTTTTTTTATTATTGGCTTTTTATTATGACTTTATTATAATATTTGTTTTTTTAATATATCTATAGGAGCAGAAGCTTAAGTTTGTCTTTCTTTTTTTGGATGTGTTTTTTGAAGAACCAAAAGAAAAACAAAGAAAAATTTAAATTAGCTGTGGCCCATTATAATAAAAAACTTATTTTTAAGTATGTTTATTTAATAATCATATTGCCACATTATGATATCATTATAAAAATGCTGCATCATCACATTATGATATCATTGTAAAAACACTATACCATCACATTATATTATCACAATATATCATAATATATTATAAAAACACTGCACCATCACATTATAATATTATAAAAAAAAATACATCATCACATTATGATATCATTATAAAAACACTGCATCATCACATGATATCATTATAAAAACACTGCATCATCACATGATATCATTATAAAAACACTGCATCATCACATAATAAACCCATTATTATAAATAATGTGTTTATTATGTGATGATGCGCCAAAATAAACACATTATAAATAATCATATTACCACATAATAACCAGGGTTGCAAAAAAACTGTTTTTTTTGAAAAAAAACAAAAACTATAGGTTTTTTTAAAAAAACCAAAAAAACCATGGTTTTTTTGGTTTAAATTAGGATTTTACTAAAAAATGCAGTATTTAGTTATCCTTTTAAATTAAAAAAAGCATAACGTATTTTATTTGAGTAAACTATATTCTTTATCATTATTATTGTTATATTTCATCAAAATTATTTGATATGAACAAGACTAAAAGTTGAAAAAATTCTTTTGATTCCAGCACTAGAAGCTGGTGCATTTAATAAATCTTCAATTTCCATTATGTTATAGTAAATTTAGCTTTTAATTTGAGTAATATTGGTAACAAATTCTTGAACTCTTTATCTGCGAAATTCATGGCAGCTTTCATTTTCAGAAAAATATTATCCAAAATATCTAGGATCTAGTGTGTTTGCCAGGAAATGAGCATCACTGACGGTCTTTTTTTGTTTGATAAAAATGATAAACTGTTTATCAAGTCTTTAAAAGTTTCAAGAGTCACTTATTTTTGTTTGATCTCTTTGCAACTTATCTAGAGCTACTGCAATTGGTTTCATTATTTTCAATAAATCTTCTGTGTTTCGCTTTATCTGTATATCACTTACTTTTTTACCAATCAAGGGATCCAAGTCTTTATTTTTTTCAAACATTGTAAAAGTAATGCTCCAGTTGTTGACATTTTTTTCAAGTGAATCACAATCAGAACTCCAGCGAGTTTCAGTAGGACAATTTTGTTCCTCAGCTTAATTTATAAATCGCTCCAGCTTGATGATTATTTCATATATATTTTATTATTTGTGTAACATGCTTGCTCACATTTTCAATGTTAAGATCATTTGCTAAAAGATTCAGCATATGAGCAGCACACCCATAAGTTATGATAATATCTCTTTCAGATGACAATACTTGTCTCATTGATTTCACATTAGCTGCATTGTCAGTCACAAAGCTTTTTAATGTGCAACCAAATTTACATCTTACAAAATCAATTGCTTCTTTTGCTAATTGTGTAAGATATTCACCAGTATGTGAATGGCCAGAAGTGTTGGTTGTTTCTGCTAGAATGTTAATTTTATCTGTAATTACAGAGATACAAACTATAGGTTCAATATGTACATTACTCCAGCCATCTAAAGATAGGACTATAATTTTCCTATTCAATACATTACATTTTTCAATTTCTTCTGTGTAAACCCTTTAATATTTCTCCTCCAATTTCAGTTATAATAGGTAGAGTGTATCCTGGATGAAACATATTGATAAATAAAAAAAAAAAAGTCATGGATTTAAAAAAATATATCTATATTGAAGATTAGTTATAAATAATGTTATAAAGTTATAAAAAAAGTTAGTTATATAAAAAAATCATGCATTTAAAAAAATATATCTATATTAAAGATTAGCTATATTTGTGAGCATAACCCTGTCTTAGTTTCCTGTTGTATGTTCAAATCTTTTTAAAAAAACATTAGTTTGGTTTAAACCAACATTTTTTTAATTGGTTTAAACGATGGTTGGTTAAAACCATGCAACCCTGATAATGACACCATTAATATAAAACTGCATCATCAATTAATAGCAGCATTTTAAAATAACCACATTAGTGAGGTCATAGCAAAGTAATTACATAAAAACACATAACTACATTGCACAAAAAAGTAAACTACTATACAGTTTAATCATACCAAAATAACCTTATTAATACAAACTTTACCTTATTTGCAAAATGTTTGTTTGGTTATTGAGCAAAAGTATTAAACCATGTCCCTGGAAGTACTCAGGTTGTCACTTAACGCAACAGCCTTGATTGTCAAGTTGTGTTTTAGAGTTAAAGAGTTGGAAGAGGATTGAATCTTTTTTACTAGAAAAAAAGAAGGTAATCAAAATAAGAAAAAAAAAAAAAAACTAAATAAATTAGCCGCTGCTTGACTGCATATATGTGACCCTCTGGGCCTCATAGAAGTAAATATTGTCAGCTAAGGCGTAATACCTTGTCAATCAAAAACATTCATATTTCAGGAGACACATATTTTTTTTGATTTTAAGAGATATTGCATTTATTATATTGTCAATGAATTGAAATTGTTGTCCAGCTGACTTATTTAATTACATGTTAAAATGAAAATTGTTGGATCAGGGATTATATTTAATAAATTTTTAACATTTCAGCCTTTTGAACTTATTATTCAAATATAATCATAGTTATAATATGTCACTTCTCATATAATAAAAAATCATCAATATTGCTATCATTTATAAATTTCAAACTAATATTATTGTTATTATATACTACTTCATCCTACTCTATAAAAAGAAGAACTTAGTAACTGTTACTTAGTAACTGTTACTAGTTTACTTAATTATGATACTATTAGTAAATTATGTTAGGTCATAGGTATGATGATTCATTAAAATTAGTTTATGTTTTAAAACTTACAATGATCATTGTTATCCAATTCTTTTAGATGAACATCAATTTTGATTTCATCCATTCTTAATAATGTCCGTAATTTGAATTGATATACATGTCCATAATTTGAATTGAATTATATTCATAATATAAATTCTAATCATATTTATATTATTTATAGTTTGAATTCTAACAATTATTTTATACAACTTTATGTTTTGAACTTTATATTACAAACAAGATAAAATAATATAATTAAAATTATAAGCAATTAAAATATTATTATATTAAGTTGTGAAATAATGTGAAATTCACACTTTAAAGCACCACTTTAATATTTGTTTACAGTTACAGTGGTATTAGCCCACCAGCTGTAATTAATATACAATATATTTGTGACAAAATACTGATAACTAATTTATGTGAAATTGCCTCTGCATGTATTTTTTTTTGTGAAAAAATTATGAAAATAATATTACTTATAAAATATTCCAAACTAATTTTTTTCTCAAAACCTTTTTTTGATGTGTATAATTACTCTTGATGTATACATCTCAAAACCATTTGTTATATATCTCAAAAAATCTATAAAGAAGTATTAATAAAAAAGCTTGTCATTGGAAGGAAGGCAACTAAAGTCATTCCTAATTGTTTCAAAACACATAACTTATTTATTCGCCTGTTGAAAATTAAAATAACATTTGATATTGTTGAGTCACATTTAAAAAACCAAACAGCTCCACACCTTATTTTATGTCAAAGTCTCATGCAATAGTCATGGACTAAGCCAAAATAATGTAAAGCAAAAAAAAACTAAAATTTAAAAAAAAAAAAAACAAATTTTGGAAATTCTTAGAATATTCTAGAATAAAATAATCCAAGATGATTATATTACATTTATTTTTAATGTATACTTATTTACCTTACTTATATTATATAGTGGGTGTTACTTAGTGGGCGTTTAGCAAATATAATAACAATAATAAAACAACTTTTTTTAAACTTATGAGGTATTATGTCTTTGCCAATGACATTTAAAAACACAAAATAAGCAAGCATATAATAAGTTCTTACTAGAATAAGTTACATTGCCACATAATAATGTCATACCAGTCAAATATTGTATCATACTGGTCAAATATCCTACCATTCATATCAGTCAAATATCCTTTCATACTCCTCAAATATCATATCATACCGGTCAAATACCATACTGAATAAATATACTAACAAACTGGTCAAATATCCTATTATACCATTCATATCAACCCCTGTTGTTTATTATACATAATCTGAATACCAAAAAAAATATTTTTTTTTTTCCATTTTTATAGATTATTCATAAATTGGTTTGCCTTTAAAACGCATTATATGGCAATAAAAAAAATGAATAAAGAAGCTCTGCAGTTCTACAGGTTTTAATCTTTTTTTTTTTTTATTAACTGATATTGTATTACAAAACTTATAAATATAAAACATGACCAAAATGCAGGGTCTTCGAATAAACAGGGTTCTAGTCAAAAAAAGAATCTTCTAATAGGTACATGAGTAAAAATTTTAAATTGTTTAAATACTTTAATGTTATATATCATTAGAAAGAGGATTATTACAGTATTTTAAAGGTGAAAATGTTATCAAAATCGAACAATTGGTTCAAAAGTTATGACGGTTTAAGTACCAATTTTTCGATATATGGATTTGTTGAAGAAACTGTGGTTAAAATAACGTTTTTCTTCACTTAAATTATCATAACTTTGTCAATTCTTATCGAAATACAAATATTTTGGTGTCAAAAGATTGGTGTAAGAATGGGCTACAACTTTATGTTAAACTCTAACCACCGAGCGTATCAGATGGACAGAGGGGCACCAAACCACCAACTTGCTTGTATGAAACTGAACACTTTTTTCAAAAAAAAAGTTTTTTTTAAGACATAAGCAATATAAATATACAAAAAAGTTGTTTCAAATTTATACTAAACCACCAAAGTATATGAGAGGTGTATGTTAGCAATAGAGGTGGGTGTGGTGGTAATGGTTTGATACAGCCTAGTATCAAAAACGACTTGATTTTATAAATATTTATATCTTTAATATAATTAGTAAAATTAGTATACAATATAAAATTATGTTATACAAGACCTTACATACATAAGTGGTGTTTTTATTATGGGAGGAGCATATGCCCCCCCCCCCACCAGACCTAAAAAAAAAATGCAATTACTGTGTTCAAAATTTAAATAATAATTAAAAAAAAAATTCATGAAATTGAAAATAAATTATTTTGATTGAATATTTAAAGTACAACAAAGAAGTAAAAAACATATTCCACTAGATTAAATGATACATTAGTGGTGCATCCATGGTCATAAAAAATAACAATTTATAAATATTTTAAAGATAATTTAATATATTTTTGTCTTGGATTTTAGTGAATAATTAAAATGATTAATTCCAGTAATGAAACTATATTTTAATCATTTTTAGCGATAGACAACACTTGAAGGTAAGCCAGAGCCATCTATCAAAAAATTTGACCAATCACAGCACTTGCTATATAATTTGGGCAAGTCACAACACTTGCTGTATTATTTAGGCAAGTCACAACACTTGCTATATAATTTATGTAAGTCACAACACTTGCTTTATAATTTAGGCAAGTCACAATACTTGCAAAACATTTTTGGCAAGTCACAATACTTGCTGTATTATTTAGGCAAGTCACAACACTTGCTGTGTTATTTATGAAAGTCACAACACTTGAAATACATTTTTGGCAAGTCACAACACTTGCTGTATCATTTTGGCAATGATCTGACATGACATCTTCTAAACCAAATAGTTGGTCATTGGACAAGTGCTTATAAGAATTAATAATTTCGTCAAAGTTCAATTTGGATAGCTTGCGCTCTAACTTTCTTTTTTCTTTTTCATCCATTTTTTGACGCTTGATTTTTTTTGTCTTTAGCAAATCTCATCTCTTACTTTGCATCGATGCAGTCAATTTGTAAATCTGTTTTTACGTGTTACATTAATTGACCATTTAACAATCTTTTCTCTTAAACTTAAATTTAGAGTGTCTAGATAGTCGACAGTCCTATTCTTTTTTGCATATCTTAGTTTGCATGAGATATAGCAAATTGTTGCATTAGGAGCCCGTACTTTTGCATCACTACCTATTAATTCCTCACTATCTATATTGTGAAGCCTTGCACTAGCTGTTTCCTCTTTAAATGTCTCCGTCACAGTAAGTGAAAAATATCTACTATATTGTCTATTTAAAACATCTTCCACTGCAATAAGACAGGCCAAAGTCATTTTAAGAAGCTCTTCATTAATGGAGCATAAACCTGTTACTGATTCAAAAATATTTGGCTCAAGCGGCTTTTCAAAAAAATCTGTCTTTCTGCAAAACAAACCAGCTGGATTGGATTTGCAAGTTTGAATTGTTTGTATAACATTTTTCACACCCTGGATACCAGCAACATGGTCAAAAGTTGCATGCTCTAATGTAATATATGGTTTTCATAGTCATCAGCTGTTCCGCCAGGTAGTTAGTCCAGAGCAACAACTAGGCATTTATCTTTTGACGTCAAGTGAATACTGTTAATATGAACACCATCTTGTGTTGTAGCATCAAACCCAAGAGTAAGTTGACTATTGTTGATTGCCCATTCAGCTGCCTGCAAGCTTATGACCCATTTGTTCAACGGTATTGCGATGTGGAATACCAGAAAAAACAAAACCCATACATTGTCCAATTTTCTGAATCAGAAAAGGAATGTTTCCTGTTGGGACATTACATATTAACATATTATAAATAATCATTCTCATCTGTAATGAATATGACTTTTCTTCTTCAGTCATGTTCAAAAATGTAGTTGTGTTCTCCACTTTTTGAAGCAAGTTGTTTTCTAAACTAGCTATTATTTTTTTTATTTGCCCTATTATCTGTGTTATGCCTTACCTTTATTTGCTGCAACTTTTTTTTTTGATTGCATTTTAATTTCTTTATTGTAGCTGTATGATTTTGAATTTGTCAAGTATAGTTTTCATTTTAGTTTTTAATTCTCTCAACTCCATTCTTAAATCCTTAATAGTATCTCCTTTTCTTTCAACACTTTGTTTTAAAAGTTTTAGTTTATATGGCATGCTATTTAATTTAGACTTAACTATAGCTATATTTGTTCTGTATTTCTTAGAAGAGGTAGCTAACTGATTAGCCACATTAGATAACCGAATCTTCAATAGATTTTCTCTTGGTGAAATTTTTTGTTTACAAGTGAAAATATCTTGTACATGATTACTACAACTGGCTGTAAGTAAAAACTTATTGTGTGTCTCAGATGAAAGACTGTCATGTTTGTAAGACAAGGCAACTAAATGAGAATTACTTGGGCTAGACTGGGATGCTTGTTTCATTGTTGTGTAGCATGTAAACAGCACGTTGCAAAAATCCTCAAAATGTGTACAGTCCCTTTTAAAGTTATGTTTCCATTTTTTTGCTACACTCACTACATTTTGGACATGATATGTGCAAGTGTTGAAGTTAAAAAATTCATTGACATCTTTTACAGTTTTCGTATATATCTCACCACTGTTAATGAAAAAAAAGAGTCCGTTTCGACACTCAATGTTTGTATTGTTAGACAATTTATAGTTTGCATTTAAAAAAGAGTTGATTGCTCCTCTAAATATCAATGCTTTATTTTTTGGGCCCATATCACCTATATTAATGAAAATGAAACAAACATCAATAACCAAAAAATTTTCATATTTTAATAAGAATAATTATAATTTAATTTTCAACTTGTATTCAAGAAAATTATTAAAAGTATAACTTAATTTAAAAAACCTTTTTTTTGTATTTAGTTAATAAAATAACATGTGTACCTTTTATAGCAGACAAATGACTGAATTTAATTTTTTTTTTTCTAATTTTTTTATATATTTTTTTCTAAATGAATATAAACTAAAATAAAAAAAAATTAGTAAAATGTATGCTATGATTGTTTTTTTTTTTTCTAACAGTAGTAGGGTAATGAAACCTTAATTAAAATGAACCTTAAGTAAAATGTAAGTTATTAGGGCTTAATAACTTACATAGCTTGTGTAAGTTATTAACTTTAAGTTAATGTTATTAATATTTTTATTAAAAAAAAGGCAATCATAGCATTATTTTACTAATATTTATAGTAAACATTAATAGCATTTATATTGCTAATATTTATTATTCATATCACTAATATTATTAGAAGTATTGTTGTTTATCTAAATCAAAATAATATATAAAAAATTATTCAATACACCCCTCTGTCTCCCAAGTTAACATCAGGGAAAATGTAAATTAGGTACCAAAATTGTGACAATAAATAGGGTGCATAAAATGAAATTTGGCAGGTGCATAGAGAATTTAGAGAATTTAGAGAATGTTTACAACAAAAATTTGCTAACACATTCATTCGTGAAGTATTTCACGAATGTGTGTAAAATACTATAACTACAAAATAAAAAATTAATCAACAGTTTGCTTAAAGCTGTCATAGTAGCTAATTATTGACTGTATCCATACAATTGGATTGAAATATTCATACTACTGAGAAATACTTTTGTGAAGTATAAACTTATTTTTGACCTCTACTAAAAAATTAGTTCATTTTAAACGTAAAATTTTGTGATTAATTGTTTTAATGATGAAATGCTTAAATGAAATTTATTGGGCAAATAATAGCAGTTTGAACTATGTATTCTACTTTTATTTATTGATATGTATGAATAGTGATGCTAATAAATTATGCTTATTCGATATGTATGAATTGGGTAGAGCGGGGATAGTTGAGCATAGGGGCAAGTTGGGCAGTTAAAATATCTCAAAAACTACGCATCACATGACAAAACATCTAATGGATGAAAGTTAGGGAAATGTTAACACAATGCACAACATAAGATTGCTGAAAAGCTATTGAATAAGATACACAGGCACTTTTTCTGTTTTGGAATAATGAAGTAAAAATTTTTGCTATTTTTCGCTTGTATACTTATAACCTTTTTTATCTGCTTTCACTTAAGTGTTAATTATTTTCCGATTTATTGGATTTTTGATTAAAATTAACTGTTTTTTCCTAAGTCTTGCTGTTCTTTTTTTAAAACCTAACTCATGCGTCACCTTGTCTAGTAGGAGTATATTAAGCAGCTTTGAAAAACAAATAAAACTGAACTATCAAACAAAAAGAAATAGCTTTAATGAGAAAAAATAGAGCACTACATTATTTATATATATTTTTAAAATTAGTTTTTAAATCGGGCTCCAAAGTTCAAGATAGTTGTATAAAATTATATTTTTATTTTTTATGACACTTTCTTACGATTTAATTTTTTCTCTTTTTTTACTTAAAGTATATAAAATAAAAGAGTTT